TGGTCCCCAAATAATTAGTGAATTATAGTGGTCCCCAAATAATTAGTAGATAGAAACGTCAAGTCAGTGATGGGAACCGTGCTCCAAGTCGTTGCCTGGGAGTGGCCCCACTCCCGCCGCTCGAGGTGGCTCCGCTCGACGGCTTTGTGCACGCCGTGATGCTGGAGGAGCATCAGCCGCAGGCGACGGAGCGTTCGTGTAGACGTCCCGCTCCCGGCGGTGGAATCGGATTGGAGGAGGGTTGGGGCAGTGAACGTCAATGTTGGGATCATGTGCATTCTCTTTTTTTTGGGAGATGAGGGAGATCAAAAGGAAGACAGTTGGATGCAAGTGGTTTTTGTGTGATTTTTAGTTGAGGGATGGCCCAACTATGTTTCTAACTACCTCAATCAGGTTTCATGTGCAGGTTTCTCAGAAAACCCTCTGGTCTGTTTATGCTCCCACTGAAAACCTCGTGTTGACTGTGGGAAAATTCGGACCAACCAACCAGTTTTCCAGCCTAAGTGAAGGGCCTTCACTGGATGCAGTCGGTAAACCTACCCTTTTGGCCCCATCCCACCTTTTTTTTTACACCCTAAGAATCCTTGGGCTCTCCATGGCAGGGGTCGGACCCTCCATAGCAGGGGTCCGGACCCTCAAAACCCTATGTGTTTGAGGGCCCGGATTCTGAGGGCACATCATATGTTTCATTCACCTTAACTGAATTATCATAAGAATGCGTGTGGTACCGCAACCCTTCGACGCACCACTGAAAGCCGAATCCCGCAGACCTCGATCGGCTCGCGCTCCGCGGTGGCCGGCGGGAGGGTGGCACCTTGGATGATGCCCAAAGCAGCTCGGGGGTCCCAGAGCCGGCATGGGCTTGGTTGTTGGGATGGTGAGGTCGTTTCTGGTTGGACTCCAGGGGTCAAAGGCCGGCGTTGGAAGCGGTGTGTACATTGAATGTATGGAGTGGGGTCGGGTAGGACGAAAACACTCATAGTGTTCATTTGGTACATCCATAGCCCATGGGGGACGACTTCGGACATCGGGGGCAAGTGCTTGATAATTCATAGCGCGGCAGCTACAGGCATGAGCCCTAGGCGCGAGCAATGCAAAACATGCATCCATAGCCCTAAAGAAGTCCAGTTCGACGATCTTTGTCACCACCCCAAGTGTTCAGGACATTCCTTGCACATCCTTGGACTTGGGTCACCTAGGACCCGCCCTGACCGGGGGTCACAGGCTGGTCCCTCTTCGGTCGAACACGTCCCGAGGTTGGGATCCCTGGGCGGAAACGCCTGCGGCTTCCGTGCCGGGCATCTGGTGGGCGCGACTGGCGCCGGGAGAGGTGCTGCGGGTGCCAAGAACCTGGTGGCTGACGCTGCGTGCGGCCAGGTGGGGCGAGGTGGTAGGTGGTAGGTGGTAGGTGGTAGGTGGTGGTGGGTGGTGCCGAATTCAAGAAGATGACTGAAGGTAATCGAGATTCTAATTTATATATATATATATATGAAGTAGTTGGGACTGGGGAGTCCCTTCCACTTGTTTCTGCTTGGAACGGGGTTTCCAGGTAGATCTGGTGTGGTCTTTCAAGTCAAAGGAGGGTTTGTTCAATGTGGGCTTGTTGGCCATGTAAAAACGAACAGATCGGAGCCAATGACAATTAGACCTTTCTTCCATTTCTTTTTTCTTTGTTACTAGCAATGGCCTCCAACCTACCTTTGCTGACCTGACCCGACTTCTAGATCTGCCATCCTTGACCTGTTTGTCCTCCGCCGCGTGTCAGCCATTGCCTCAACCACCCGAGTTCACCGCGCGTGCCTCGTCCGGGGGGGGTGCTACGAAGCGCGGCGGGCCATGGCGTTGCCCAGCCCGGCGATACCGGAAGATATGGCGCCTGGGCATGGCTGCAGGGGTTGGAGGACTTTGGGCTCCTCTTTTTGGGGGACCGAAATAATCAGGAAATCAGGCAATCCTGGCGACTCAGGAGGCAACGCCACAAGTGAAGAGATTATCCCTGGCGCGCTCCCCCTTACTTCGGCCGGGGTCGGCGGACTCTGATGAAATGACTGAGAACTCTCTGAAGCAAGCTTCACCCCCGCGTGATAAGGAGGTTCTTTCGCCTCCCAGACCAGGTTGCGGCCGGTGTGGTGCTCCAGGTGGCTGACCGGCTGTCCCGTTGCCCGACCAAGGCGGCCTTTGATGAGGAAGAAAACGAGGCGTCCGTCGGTCCTACCGGAGCATCTGATTCGTTGGCCGGTTCGAACGGTATGAGTTGCAGAAGACCGACATGGTGGGTTTGAAGCCAGTTGAAATGCGCAAGTTCAACCTCAGGGGAGTTGAAGTTGGTGGTCTGTTCGGCCGTAACACGACTTCTTACTTGGTCACCATGACCATGAGGTTCTCAAGCAGTAGCAAAAGAACAGCTGCCTATCCTGGTTTTGCTTAAGGTGATTTATTTTTTACCATATGAGTAAATCCCCCTTCCGGGTGGAATCTTTTTGTTCCCTGCTCCTGTTTTTTCAGCAAATCCAAGCTGATTCGCCCCCTCCGGTACCGGCGCCCTGTCCCGGTCTGTACCCCCGTCTCTTTCGCGGTTCGCTCGCGGAGCTCGCTGGCCAGGTGCGAGGCACCTTGGTCTTCCGGCCGCCGGTGGAGATTCTGCCGAAGACCCGGAGGACCGAGGAGATGCAGAAGCGCAAGATCGCCCCTCGGCGTGGGCGGGCGTTTGGAGCGGCGTTTGTGGGAGGGGCGGCGTTTGGGGTGGGAGACACTGTCCGGACACTCCGCCGCGGCGCGGCGTGGCGTGGGCCGACGGGCGGAAACAGAAACATAAACAGACACAGGCAGACAGATAGATAGACAGACAGTGGCTCTTATTGTTTCAAACATATTGTGATTACTAGATTACTATTACTATTGTTACTATGTATTACTATTGTAAGCCTTTGTTTGCACCAAACGAGCATTTTGGCCCGAGAGCCCTTTCCTCCAGGCACTCTATACTGTTTCACAATGGAAATTCGAGCACTTTCAGGTGCCATTGTCGCCCAGCTTCGTGAAGAGGAAGTGGGCTGTTTGGTGGAGAGTGGACAATCTGTCAGGGATCTGAAGAATCTCCTGAGCGTCCGGTGCCTTGGAGGAACCTCAAGATTTCGACAACGGCTCTTGGCTGAAGAGATGGGCGAGCTGCAGGATGATATGCCTGTCGGACAACTACCACCAAGTTTGCAGTTGGTAGTCTTGGACTATTGTGCGCCTCAGGAGGCTGTTTGGCAGGCACTACTCTCTGCGTGTGGGACCAGTCGAGTTGTTGAAGTTGCAAGTTTGCTTCAGAAACCATTGGATCCCAATTGGACAGGTGCAGACACTGACCGTCCACCTGGTTGTTGCTAGAGGCTGGAGCTGACGAGAATGCTGCAAGGGCAGATGGGATCACCGCCTTGATGGCTGCAGCTATCTGTGGCCGCTTAGACATGGTTTAGTTGTTGCTATAGGGCAAATGCAGACGGGGATACCGCCTTGATGGCTGCAGCTCTGATGGGACACTTGGAAGTTGTGGACTTGTTGCGCTGAGAGCGTGCAGAATGGCAGCTGCTCAACCGGCAGGGGTGACCTGTGGGTGGGTGGAGTCATGTTGAGGGGCATTAGGAGTGGATGGTTTGGGGAGAGGTGATGAAGGGAGCCATGAAACAAACGGATTTCATGCGAGGCAACAAAAAGGAGTTGATGTGGTGGGGCGAACATGGGTGGGGGCGAAAACCGTTTCATCAGGAGAGGTGTGGATGTCTTGGCGATTTTTGGGGGTGGACCTGGCTTCAATGCCTTGGAAAATAGGACATAGACACAAGAAAACAGGTATACTTGGAGTACTTGGATGCGTATTCTTGGGTGTGAAGTCAAGGAATAGGCTTTTTCATCCGATTTCAAGCAGGCAACTCCAGACGAGCGCGTCGCGAAAGCGTCTCAGGGAGGCCTCCTCAGGGGGCGGCGGCGGCCGACCCCCGACAGACCCAAGCACATAACAAAGCCCTTGTGACGTGAACGTAGCTTCTTAGCTACGTTCGTAGGTTCGATGCCCTTGTGATTCGATCTCAATGTCCTTTTGCTAGTTTCCAAGACGACTGATGTGCCCCCGATCTTTGAGCCCCGATGTCGCCGGTTCCACCACCGCTTCCACGGGTCGTTCCGATTTCGCTCGCCCCCCCCGCCGAACGGAGCGAGAGCGATGCGATGCTCAGGAACTGCTGAAGAAGCGAAAAGAGGATGCCGAAAACCTTCGAAAAGAGAAGGACGATGAGGGATTTTTGTTGTTCGAAGGGTTTTTAGGGATGTTGTTTGGGGAAAAGCTTGCCATGGTCTAAACGATGAGGGACGATGAGGGATGTTCGTTCGAAGGGTTGACAGGGGTTGAGGGATGGGACGGGATGTTGTTTGGGGAAAAGCTTGCCATGGTCATCTAAACCCGTTGCTTCGTTGCTGAAGGTAATGCTTTTATCCCACCTCACTGGATTCCCAATGTTCAGAGAATGCCCCTGAGAACTTGAAGGATGCATTCCATTTTTGGTCTCAAGAAATGCACTCAGGTGACCAACGTGCACTTGTTTGACCAACGTGAGTGAAATCCTTGCGTGTTCTTCATTGATTTGACTCTTTTGCCTCGCAGATGTCGATGGAAACGATGGAAACGATGTCGGCTCGGTGTGAATCAAGCGGGTTCCGCTTGACATCCGACGCAGCTCTCCGGCAGAGGTTGTTCGCCCACATGCTCGGCACGTCGATGTCCGGCTTGCTTCAGGAGAAGCAAGAAGCTCAGAGACGACAACAAGAGCTGCAGGTGGGAGTTCTCGGGGCATCATGTGTTCCTTTCTTTTTGTGGTGTCCTCCCTCTAAAGTTCCATCTGCACATCACGCTGCATTTGGTGTAGATGAGTGGAGTTAAGCAGAGAACCACATCCACAGCGCTGGCTACCAGATCACCCATGGACGCTTGCCGCCGCGCTTTCCGCCGCGCACGCGCACGCCCCCAAACAGCGGTGGTGGCCGCCGCGTTCGTGGCTGAAGTGTTGTTTCGTGCGATGGAAGCGAGGTGAAGAAGGAAAAGCAGCGCCTGGAACAGCAGAAGAAGGCCTGCAGCAGCCCGGGAAGGGGGGAGCGCCGCAGGGAGACCGGCGGTGTGGTGCAAACAGCTGGGAGACCGGCGGCGCTGGGGCGAACGGGACCTCTCTGAAGGGGTTTTGGGTGGGGGTTTGGTGGGTTTTTTTCAGGCTTATGCTTTTTCCTAGCGGTCCTTGGGGTCAATGCACCATGTTTTCCGGCCACAGAAGGGTCAATGCGGCAGACACTTGCCAGGGAATCGGTCACACGCAGAGATGCAGTCGTTCCGAACAGCGTTTTCTCGCTGAGGCCGAAGAGCGCAAGCGACGGGAGGAGGAAGAGCAGCGGAAAAAGATGGAGGGTGGTTTAGATCGGATCCTACATTCACTGCTCCTTGGCAGGAAGCCATCGGCATGGTCAGATGGAGGGGGAGTCTCGTGTGAGTCTCGTGTGTCGGAATGCGTGTGAGTCTCGTCACCCTCTGAGCCTCGCATCCTTCTGTGGATCGAAGTTCTATTGAACCCGGAGTGTTCGTCGGGGTGGTTCATGGAGTCCGCACTCCAGTCGAACGGGACTGGAAGGAGCCATTCAGTTTCACTGATTCATCCGGTAGGGTACCACATTCCGGGTCTAAGAGACTTGTCCAGCCACCACGGTCGTGTCCAACGGTCTTCCAGCGGTTTCCGAAGCGTTTCCGAAGGAGCCGCCCGACTTGGAAGAAGCCGACCTGCTCGACACGGACATCCAAAGAATTATTCAGACTCTTCCGAAAACAGCGTGTTGGAAGACCACACCCAGAAATGATCAGCCCCAAGACTTCTTCACATCATATCACATCATATCGCATCATATTATCGCCTCATCACTTCTTCTTTTGGGACGGACGAAACACAAAAAACATTTCGACCTACACCTATACACCTTCTCCCTACCACGGGAAAGATCGGCAAAAAACCTCCTCCCTCCTCGCGTTGGATCGCTCGCTCGCTGGCGAACCGAGGATGAAGAACGTCAGTGCGCCCGACATCACCGTCTGCGGCATCGACCTGAATCCCGCGCGGCTGCGGCTCCTGGCCAAGAACCTCTCGGAGAACACGTGGCTCGGCGCCGAAGGCGGCCATCGATGCCGTGGTAGGAAGTGCCCTAGGTCTAGGTAGCTGCTGAACATTTGGATTCCATGAATGGTCCCAGTGAAGGAAAGGAAGTTGCTTTGGATCCTTTTAGGGCCACCGACACTAAAGACCTTGGACTCCCAGGGAGGGTAGTTACTAACTAATAACTAATACGACTTGCGCATGCGA